CCTGCACTGTGGTCTGGAAAGTGCCTTCAGGCAGAAAGCTGGGATAATTATAGAGCTCACCTTGTTTGTTTTCATTCTCTTAGAGTCCACAGTCCTGTGTCGCTTATAGTTCAGTGTCTGAAGAAGTTGTTTCACACATTTTGTTTGGCTTTCTGTGTGTATGTGTGTGTGTATGTGTGCGTGTGTGCGCATGCGTGTATGTGTATGTTTAGTGATTCTTGTTTTGGTTAATATATCATGGCCCATTATGTTATTTAAAAGAATTTTTTTAAGTTTTTATTTATTTATTTTGAGAGATAGAGATAGAGAGAGAGCGAGCATGAGTGGGGTAGTGGCAGGAGAGAGGGAGTGAGAACTCCAGCATGTGGGGCTTGAACTCACGAACTGTGAGATCATGATCTGAGCTGAGATCAAGAGTCCAACGTTTAACTGACTAAACCACCCATGCAGCCCTATGTCATTTTTAAATACAATTTTATTTCCCTTTTTTTTTCTTATTTTTTGATTCTTATGCTCTTACTAGTCACATGTTGGATCTCCTGAATTTAATTCTCTACATTTCTTTTTTACTTGCTTATTTTCCATTCTTTCTCTTTTGTTCTTTCTTGGAGAATATTTAATTTAATATTTAATTTCTTCTAATTCTAAATTTTGAAGTCCTCTCATTCATTTAATGTTCCTTTTTAAAAAAAATCCTGTTTTGGTTCCAAGGTTATAGAATCCTTTTTTATTTCTCTTAAGAAATTAATTATAGTGGGATTTTTTTTTTGTTTCCATATTATCAGTTTCTCCAAAAATGTTTGTTTCTGTCTTTCTCTTTGATTTTATTTTTTAATTTTTTTTAAGTTTATTTACTTACTTTGAGAGAGAGAGAGTGCATGTGTGAGCAGGGGTAGGGATAGAGAGAGAGAGAGGGAGAGAGAGAGAATCCCAAGTAGGCTCTGTGTCATCAGTGCAGAGTCTGACGTGGGGCTTGAACTCGTGAACCATGAGATCATGACCTGAGCTAAAAATCAAGAGTTGGGCGCTTAACAGAATGAGCCACCCAGGTGTCCCTCTCTTTGATTTTAGAAGCTATTTTCAGGTTAGTGATGCTTAGCTACTTTTTCATTCACGAAAACAAATGCGACAGGCTTGTTGACTAATTAATTGGTCTCACTGTAGGACAGTTAGGCATGCTTAGGTCATGATCTCACGGTTTGTGGGTTTAAGCCCCGCATCGGGCTCTGTGCTGATAGCTCAAAGCCTGGAGCCTGCTTCAGATTCTGTGCCTCCTTCTCTCTGGCCCTCACCCCCATGCATGCTCTGTTTCTCTCTGTCTTTCATGAATGAATGAATGAATGAATGAATGAATAAATAAATAAATAAATAAATAAATAAATAAATAAATAAAACCTCCAATCCAGTCACTCCTTTTCATCTCCAAGCAACCATTTTTTTTTAAACTTTGTAGTAGTCTCCCAGATGATCTCTTTGCTGTTATTCTTGCAACCTTTTCTTCACATAGCTGATAGTCTTTAAAATATAATCCTTTCAGTGACTTTCTAATGCACTTAGAATAAAGTCAAACTTATGATCATGGCCTAAAAGATCTTTATGATCTCTCCCCTATCATAATCTTATGTTATACTGTTGCTTCTTCTTCATTCATTCAACCAATTATCTATTGAGCACTCACAATGTGTTAGAGACTGAGCTAGGCACTGGGGTCCCTATCATAGTAAATTGACCTCTTTTTTGTTCCTAGAATACTCAGAATCTTTACACCTGCTGTTCCCGATGCTTGGCATGTTCTTTCCTTAGCTCTTTGCATAGATTGTTTCTTTATCATTCTTCAGATCTCAGCATAAATGTCATTTCCTCAGAGGCTTTTTTTATTTAAAAAAAAATTTTTTTTTTAACATTTATTTATTTTTGAGACAGAGAGAGACAGAGCATGAACGGGGGAGGGTCAGAGAGAGGGAGACACAGAATCTGAAACAGGCTCCAGGCTCTGAGCTGTCCGCACAGAGCCGGACGCGGGGCTCGAACTCACGGGCCGTGAGATCATGACCTGAGCCGAAGTCGGCTGCTTAACCGACTGAGCCACCCAGGCACCCCTCAGAGGCTTTTTTTAATAACCTGATTTAAAATATCCACTGACCCCTTTTCCATTATGTCATCCTATTTAATTCCTTCATAGCCCTTTTCACAGTCTTCTCTGCTTATTTATTTTCTGACTGTTCCCTCCTCTGTGTCATTTTAATGTAAGCTCTTTGAGGGTAGAGAGACCCTGTCTTTCTTGATCATGGTATCCTCAGTGCCTAGAACATGTTTTCTGAAGTCCAAGGGCAGTGCCTGGCACATATGATACCATAAATATTTTTAATAGACTAGCTTGATGGGAACAGGTTCAGGAAACACTACACAGGGGAGGTAACATTGAGTTCAATATTAAAAAAAAAAGGGGTTGGTTATTTAGACATTTATCATTGGAATGAATAATTAATAGTAATGAAAGTATTTATTTTGGTTACACATTTATCCTGGTTATACATTATTAATGTTGCCTAAGAATAATTATTGTAGGTGAAATAGCTGGGTCTTAATGTCATTTAAAAAAACTTCCTTTGGGATCATTTGGAGGCAAGAATTTTTGTCCCGTTATCAAACTTTCATTTTTCTGTTCAGGGTTAAAAGCATAATAGAATAATTTGTTTTATTTAAAATTTTTTTTTAACATTTATTCATTTTTTAAGAAACAGAGACAGAGCACAAGTGGGGGAGGGCAGAGACAGAGGGAGACACAGAATCTGAAACAGGCTCCAG